AAAAATGCTCAACATCACTCATCATCAGGGAAATACAAGTCAAAATCACAATGAGATATCACCTCACACTTGTCACAGTGGCTAACATTAACAACAACAGATGTTGGAGAGGATGTGGAGAAAGAGGATCTCTTTTGCACTGCTGGTGGGAATGCAACCTGGTGCAGCCATTCTGGAAAACAGTTTGTGGAGGTTCCTCAAAAAATTAAAAATAGACCTACCTACCACCCAGCAATTGCAATAGTAGGTATTTATCCAAGGGATACAGGTATGCTGTTTCAAAGGGGCATATGCACCCCAATGTTTATAACAAACAGCACTACTGACCATAGCCAAAGTATGGAAAGAGACCAAATGTCCATTGATGGATGAATGGTATATATTCTCCCATCTTCAGATGGAAGATGTGGTATATATTTATACACATTTGCAACTATGTGGATGGAACTAGAGGGTATTATGCCAAGCGAAATTAGAGAAAGACAAATATCATGACTTCACTCATAAGGAATTTAAGATGCAAAACAGATGAAGATAAGGGAAGGGAAGCAAAAATAATATAAGAACAGGGAGGGGGACAAAACAGAAGAGACTCATAAATCCAGAGAACAAACAGAGGGTTACTGGCAGGGTTGGGGGGGGGGATATGGGCTAAATGGGTAAGGGGCATTAAGGAGTCTACTCCTGAAATCATTGTTGTGCTATATATGCTAACTAACTTGGATGTAAATTAAAAAATAAATAAAAAACCAAACAAAGCCTCACATCGTTAAGTATCATAGTAATCATGGTAAAAACTCCTGGTAATCATCATTTTCAATGACTGCATAATATTTTATCAAATTTATATACTATGTTTTATTTAACCAATCTTCTAATGTGGGACGAATACAAGTTGTGTCTAATTTTTTTAGTGTTCTAAAAAATGCTATGATGATTATTTGTCAGCATTAAAGTATTTCCCTAGAATAAATTCCTGGAAGGGAAATTACTGGAATAAACAACATAAAATATATGGGTAATAATGTCAATTTTGAACCAAGGTAATCACTTTGTCTACGTGACTCTCTAAGCACATGCAGAAACCACAGGTAGGAAGAGAAATTTAGTAGGAAGAAATTAGTCATGTGGCCGCAGTCCCCACCAAAGCAGGATATCTCAATAGCAAGTTGGTTTCCATGGTATCCTAAGAGCATCACTGAAAGTGGAAATGGGGTGAGATTTAACAGGTCACGTAGGCCCTTCTTTCTATAAGCAGGATGTCCTCCAGAGCTTTTCAGATCATACACTGGAAATTTCCATCAAGAGCCACATAAATGCAAAAGGAACTACAATTCATGTAACTAAAAAAAAAAAAAA